AATGTTTTAGCGTCCATCAGCGTTTTCAGTGTTGATCGATACCTATATTTTCTTATCGCTCAAACGCTTAAAACGCTGACAGACGCTCAAAATTTTGACGCAAGGTATGAACGCACTCTATGTTTTCAAATCATGGTTCTAGGTCACATGATATCTGTCAGCTGCAGGGCCTCTACTTTTTTCTTCCTTCTCTCTTCTTTTTCTTCCCTCCTTCTCTATTTCATTCCTTGCTTTATCCCCTTCAAACGGTCGGTCAGAAGATGAGATGAGAAAATACACTGGGCCCTCGCAGCGAGGGAATACGCTGTTGACGGAAGGACTGTAACCGTTTGTAGCTCTCCCATGTCGCAAAGTATAGGGCCAGGTCTCAACAAATCAGTTTGGTTCCAAAACCGGGGTCAAGATAGAGCGGAAGTAATTTGCCAGCGAATACACGTGGTAAAACAACTAAGGAAAACCTGAAAAAGTGCGGAGAATAACAACAGTACTAATAAAAAAGCCTCTTATACCGGTTGATATGAAAAATTCTTATCTAAAGTATAACCTGAGGAGGGTCTGAATTGTGACCACGTTCTTTTTTCGAATCGGATGTGAATAATTTCAGACAGATCATCGGTCGTCACCGTCCTCATCGGCTCGAAATGGAGAGAGACCAGTTTCACCTGGAGTTTATCAAAGACTAATTCTGCATTCAGAAGATATGAAAAGTCTTGTTCGTACAATAACTAACGAAGCAAAAAATCTCATACATGCAGAGACGTGAGTATTTTTTTTCTGAATTTTCGTTGAACATTTGTTTGTTTTTCTTTTAATTGTCGTCATTTGTCGTGGCGTATCAGAGCGTTGAGAGCAGTATTTTGTTTGTCTACTTTGTTTTCTGGTTCTGGGTGTAGACGTGCGCTCTGATGTAGTTTCGTAGATTAGTTATCGTTTGTTTTGATGATTAAGTAGGCATAGTTGGGTAAAAGTAGCTTGTCCCTCCTATGATGTGTTTTTGTGCCAATTTTTTGTGATCACTTGATTGAATTGAGCGCTGCTAGCGCGGCCGCTTCGAGGGATTTTGTCATCGAAGTCTTGTCTGGGCGTTCATCTTGGCTGTTAAATGGTTGTCTAGAATCTCCAGCTGTCTACTGGACGTTTTGACGTGGAGTCTACAGCGTTATATTTTGGAGAAAAACTTGATTTCATAAAATCACCTGGGAATTGAGTTGTTTACAACAGAGGAACTCCACCGCTTTGGCATCAAATCAGCTACTTTATGCCAGCCTGAACTGAGAAAATTTGTTGGGCTTTTAATTCCGAGTATAGTCGATATCGTCGCAATAAGGCAGCGTTCATACTTCGCGACAGCAGTGGCGATCGCCGCGATCGTCGGTACGCGTCAGAGCGCGCCCCAACGCTATTACTTGGACCGCTCGCTTTGATAAATAAGGAAATCCAACTTGTAATACCTTTTTTCTCTTAATAATGGCTACTAGCTGGACTGAGGACTTTCTCTACCTAAGAGGATCTGGAATAGGGGAGATGGTTTCACCTTTTATTTAGGCCGGGATAAGTGCAACTTCATTCAATAGGTGAGCTTCTCTTTGTTTCTTTTGTTTTCATTGTTTCAATTTATATAAGTGTCTTGAAACTTTCCTAGTGGCCAAACTTCCACTTCCAAAACATTTATATATTACATTCATTTATTTATTATATTTACAAGTCAAGTTCAAACAATTCAAAAAAGGAACAGAAAGGAACTCACCTAGGAATCAAAACACTAATTCTTTTATGCAACATCGAGGAGGAGCTTCATGAGTTCATGTATAAGCTCGAAGAGTGGAAAAAGAAACAATTAGAAACTTAAACTGAATAGCCCCCTGCTTTTTGCTAATTTCTGTCCTGAATCGAAGAGAAAAGCTATTAAGTTTCAGACACCTTTCCTTGAGTCAAAACGAACTCTAGTACCTGAGTCAATTGCAATTAAAGAAAAAAAAGGAAATTAAGCCAATTCCTCCTAATAGCACTCGGAGCGGTCCAAGTAATAGCGTTGGGGCGCGCTCTGACGCGTACCGACGATCGCGCGATCGCCACTGCTGTCGCGAAGTATGAACGCTGCCTAAGGGGCGGATCAGGATATGTGGAATGAGCCCGCCAGCGGTAGTGTTTTTTTACGAATAGTGGCTGGTCGTTTTATACCTGAATGTGTCACTAGTGGTAGAAAATGCTGAGTCGAAGAGGGGTTCATTCCACGCTTCCTGACACCTACAGCTGAATTGCGACGATAAACTATGAATAATCAACTTGATGTGGCTGTGGTTTCCAAAAATTTGAAGGGGAGCAAGGCAGTTCATCGATTTTCATGGTTGAATCCGTCAAATAAACGGTACAGGACGTAGGTTACCATGACGCAGTTCATTTGGCGCGGAACTGTCGTGTCGAGTCAACCAGCTAGGGAAGCTGGTTTGTGCGCGATGCCCCATTTTTGAAGTTTTGAAATACAGGCGTCAAGACGGTCGTGATGTACCGCGCTGGGCGTGGCCGCGACGCCGCGCACCCGGAAGGGTATTTGTGTCCGTCTATTTGGATTCAAATTCGGAAGGGCCGGGAGAAATCGATGCAGGAGTTTCGTCTTTTTTCTCTCTCTCTCTTCGTTGCTCCAGTCGACAGTCTGACGCTCAGCGACACTTTGTCGCACAATGCAGCACGCGCGACGGTGCGACAAACTACGATTGTCTTGTCACCCTACACCTATCTGTTCCACTAATGTTACCTGCGTTTTCCACGATTCTTAAGCCTCTGCAGATGTGCAATAATTGATTGTTGGTGGTTATTACATATCCAAATGGCTTAGGGGGAACACTGGGCTTTGACGTTGTTTATCTCGAATTCTCTATTGATTGCAGGTGTTCGTTGTTTTTATTGGATAATGAGCACAAGGAGCTGGTTGCGAACGTGTTCGATAATGCCGGCGATTTGTCGGAAATTAGACTTCCAATGACAAAAGGTGTTGTTGGACGAGTGGCAACAACAAGATCAATGATGAATGTTCGGGATGTTAAAAGGTTCCTTATAAATTCAGTTTTCTTTGAGATGATGTGGGCTAGAAGGATTTCGGCGCTATTAGCC